AATTAATTTGATGGAACAAGGGTTTTATCATTAGCATCTGAATCCTTTCTGTCGCCTCCACCGCTCTTGTCATTATTTAAACCTTGACGCTCAAGTCATAAAGAGGTAGTCTTATAGGCGATAGATCGGGAGTCAGCAAGACACCAGCGAAGCAGTACCAAACGACGCATGAAGTAACAATGCCGAGTATGCCAGCAATATTCATGAATAGTTGGGTCATTGTGAAATGATAGAGAGTCTCAAAGAGGAACACAATCGTGAGAAGAACGAAGGCGCTGAGAACGGCGCCACTTGTTCGGATGCAAGCCAAGGTGAAAAGAAATGTAACTAGATACGCGCGAAGCCACAGAATATATGTTAGTGCCAAGTCATTTGTGTCTCGAAAAAAATTTTTGCGCAAACTCGTGAGAAACAGTACTTACAGATAGTCCAAGCTATACAAAATACACCCATTGCATTATGATACTGTGTATCGTTTGCAAATGCTTGTTCAACGTTCTTAACAGGAAATAAGACGGGTATCGTTTAAGTGAATTGTCAAATATCGTAAACATTCCAAGACATAGCGATAATACTTACGACAGAGGGCAATAAAAGGACACCGTACGAAGCCCAGAACCCACCAAAGGCACCAAAACCTGTTGCGCCAAAAGTGTTCCCTACTCTCATTTCCCACATACCAGCTGCGAACTAATTGTAACAAAGCAAACAAAAAACAACGAAATGATTAGAATTTCTCTTTGTCATCTGTCATGTCTTGAATTGTGTCATCTGTTTGTCTGTTGCATTACGTTACCTGAACAGCGCCACCGGTGAATAAACAGACTCCAACAGCAGCATTTGGAATGTCGATTCCAAATGCGCGACAGTTATAGAAGGAGATTACCATTACGGACAAGGCGAAAGCAGATAATCCCAACGGTGTGGGGTTGGCGAGCTTTGGAGGTGGTGGGTGATGATGCCTCCTGTATGAGGGTTGCGACTTGAGGTCACTTGCGGCCCTCTTGAGTTCGTTTACTCGGTCAACGCCTTCGCGTTTTTCTGATGGCCTAAACTCTTGTACAAAAATGTTTGTTGACCTTTCTCCCGGCATTCTGAATGGATGTCTGGTTATCTATCAATTACTGAGCGTTGATAAGAAAATGTTTATTAAATGAATTACGCTTTATATAGCGGGTAAGAAGTTCGCTTCTATAGCTAGTCTTAAATGTGGGGAGAGTGGGAAAAGAATAAGTATTCGAGACGAGAGAATTCGAGGGTTATATAGAAGTTACGTGACTTGCTCTAGAACTGTGTACTATACTATACACATTAATTGTCGTATTTTTGTCCTTTCTTGCTATAAGATTTCGGTTTTTGGTTCTATTTACTATATTAAGTACGCGATTGATCCATATTTGCGTCAAACATGTGTTTATGTACAACAATGACACGTATATATCGGAGAATTTGCTAAATATAGTACATCTCTAACTTTGTGTTCCTTCTACGTAGATCGTCTATCAATATCTACATTCATTCTGCACGACACAGACCAATCGCTGATGGAGATCTAATCTTATATATTACCCTACCCAACTTTGCGGATAGTCATCTCGTGCGTTCGTAGAAATATTCTTATAAAAAGTGAGCCTTTCCTTCTTTGGCATAACCCATACAATGACAAAAAAGGACAATACCCCACAAGCACGCCCATTCACGCGAATTTGAATGCGCGGACATAACAAACAAACGGTAAACGGCAATCAAAAAATCCGATACTTTTTTTGTCAGTCCGAAAAAAAGCGAAAATGTTTATTACACAGCGAAATGCTTGAATATTTACCAGTAATACTGCCGGAAACGCAGGCGTGGGACCGAACAAAATTGCGTATGACAAAAATTTTCTAACG